CCTCGCCACGGGTCTCGTATCTCGGCCGCCCATTTCCCCCACGGCCTCTGCCTCACGCCCCGGAACTTCCTTCCGGAGGAGACCCGGCGACCGTGCGGGGCCCTGTCTCGGCTCCGCTTCCTGGCAACGACGGCCTGGCTTTGGAGAATGGAAATCTGGTGGACGAACCTCCTCTGGCGCGTGGAAGGGTGGTGTTGTTCGTCGTCGCTGGAGGAGTCGGTGGCGTCGGTGTCCGTGACGGTTATTCTGACGAGTCTGGGGTATGGGTGGTTGGGTGGGTGTTGTTGGAGGTGTTTGGTGTAGTGAGTGTACTTGGTGGGTGGCGCAGTCATGTTATTGTTATGAGAATGTTGAGGGTAGCAATAGCATATAGCATTGACGAGTGGAGAGAGTGAAAAGGATGAGAGAGATATTCCTTTGGGAGAAGACAATAAATAAACAAGGTTTTTACTTTTTACATAGGGTTGAGAAAGTTACTGCATGGATTCAAGTCTAGTGTACCAAAAAAAGTGGAAGCATATAGACCCAAGGCCAAGGGGTGTACACTGTAGCCTGTGAGTGTGCTGTGGGGCTAAACAAAAATACGAGTGTCTGTCTTGTCTTGTGTGGAGAAAAATAAAGAGCGTTGCGTTGCCCAATTTACCTCCTCTGCAAATGCCTCTGCTTCCAGTACTTTCTTTCTATGCCTTTCAAAGGGTAAACTAACGATTTCCTGATTCTTGCAGCAAAATTACAGCCAGTGCTGTACTCTCAATCAAATCAAATCAACAACCACCCTCCACCCTCAGAGACCTATTCGCTTAATCAAATACTATGTTTTGTTTTCGGGGGCAAGGCAAACCCAAAATTATATTATATTAATTTAAAACTTTTGAAACCAGGTTATGTCTGTACTTTTTTACAAAAAAATATCCACTTTCTTTTCATACATCAAAGTCATTAAACTAATATAAGATATGGATCTCCGGCACTCTAGCCACAACTAAAATGCACCGGCTGTGCTTTGAATCTAGTGGCCTCCATTCAATGCACCCACTGGAGAGCATCCGAATCATATAAGATCGATGTTCCATAGGGAAATATCTCTACAGTGTAACTACTTTCTTTTAATAAAAAATGTTACATGGTAAAAAAACCAATGAATTTCACAGTCATACACTTATGGACTATTTAATATACAAAATGTATTTTTATTTTTATAAAAATTTCATGTAAAAATGTTAATTTTTTTTGTGTTTTATTTATTATTTTAAAAATTACATTTTTAATAAATATTTTAGAATATTTTTTGTATAAACTTTTCACAAAATTATTCCTGAGAAATTAACATTTTAAAAATAAAATAAAATAATTAATCAATAAAAAATCATGTTATCTTTATTTACTTATTTAGTATAATAAATTTTTTATTTTTATATAATATTTATAAATATTTTTAGAAACATTATAATTAATCAAATAAATTTTTATAATTTCTCTTCTTAATATTTCTAATTTTCAAGAATCACGATTTTAAAGCATAAAAAAATTTCTTTAATTTTTATTATATTATTTTCAATTTTCATTTTAAAGGTCGAAATTGTCAAAAACATTGGATACGTCAAAATAAAAAACCATCCTTATATAAAGATACAAATTAACAAATAGTTTACTCTAATAATGATGGCTTCTACAAAGACCAATCACATCACTATCTTTATAAATATAGATAGGTAAACCACGTATGGAAAGACATGATCCCTTCGATCTTGAACTATCAAGATGAGTAAATTTAAGTGCAAAATGAGCTAGGTTGATCTATTGATCAACCATATATAAGATACATTTTTTTACTAGTTTTTTACAACTTATTTTATATAATATTGTATTTCTTTGTATTATATCACATGTTTCTTTTTTATTTATATCATCATTGTATAAAAAAAACATCCTCTTTATAAAAATAAAAGCTTTCATATTTTAATATATATAAACTTGTCCTTGTATTTTCTTTATATGGAAAAAGTTGAAAGGAATGAGAAAAAAATAGATAAGCAATAAAGTGAATTTTATAGTTATTTGCTAAAATAAAATTATGTGAAAAATAGATGGAAGTTAATGTTTAAAATTATATTTATATAATTAGATTTTTATATAAAAATATATAATGTATATGATTACTATTTTATTCTCGCATTATATTGAAGTGAAATTATATAATTTTTTATGAAATATAATAACCTAATTAGTTGTATTAGTTAATATAACCGATTATGCAATTTAATTCGTACATTTCATATTACATTAATAATTAAATATATATTACATTAACATGTTAACATATTAGGTATTAACATCCACTAAATATAAGTTCTTAAACATAAAAGGTCACAAATTCACAATAATAATCTTCTTATGTTAGAAAGAAATTTTTCATCAGGTGAGACTCACATCAATTCACATTTAAATTACTTCCATTAAATGTAAGTCTTTTTCTTAATTGTTCTCCATCTAATGCATCTCCCTCCTCTTAAATCCCACATAGCCAAACATAGTGTTAAGTAATTAGTGATTCGGTATTCCTGTAACTGTTCAAGATACAACTGTTCCTATATCAGCCAAATAAAAATTCGACACATGGAGTAGGACAAAAGCTGGTCCAATCACGTGAGGCGAGACCCTTGGAAACCGTATCAGTACTGCATTGACTGAAAATAAGGAGCAGCCACTTATGATAAATGTATTATGAGATCAACAATAAAGTTTTCTACTATATTAAAAATTATGCAAAGTTAGAATCATAGAATAATGGTAATTAATTTTAATCATTTTTTTTATTTATTGAGTTGTGTTTTTCTTTAATAAAAGTCCTACTCAAAATAATGGATTATATATATCAGTAATATTACTTTTATTTCTTCTCATTGAAATGTGAGGTTTTATTTGTACTTTATTAATATTAATAAAATAAATAAAATACCTAAACATGTAAAATTATATATTACAATTTTCATTTACGTACGTTAAAATAGTTTATTAATTTAATAATCAAGTTTTGTTGTCATAGATAAGAATGAGGGATTCAAGTCACATTTTTTATATTTTAACAATTTTTTTCTCCTCTTTACACGTGCAATGATTATATTTTGATTTTTATATTTTTTCTAAGCTTGTTAATATCACCGACCAATTGTTCCGGTATATATCATGTGTTGCTTGTACTTCCAAATTATCATAGTGAAATGGAGTAATAATAGAGAAATTCTGTAGAATGATGTGCTTCAATATGAGAATTAGTAGGTCGCATTATTATTATTGTGGGTTTTCTATTTGAACATGAAAATAAGATTTAACTTGTAGTAATTATTATAAAATTAAATTTATATTATTTATATATTAATTATTTTTAAATTAAAATATTTTTAATTAAAGTGTTTTTTTTTATTTAGTAAAATGTATTAATTATAAATTTCTTAAATAATATATACTCTAATTAATTAGAGTAAAGATAAATTTTAATTAAGAAAATAAATAATATATAATATAATACTATATCCGCTTATATAGTATTGAATATGAACTTTCAAATATTTTTTTTCATCTAACTAGTTATAGAACTTTGAAAAATACAATCATCTCACATATATTTATCTACTTTCTCTCTTTTTAAATTTATTATATATTATTCATTTAGCACACACAATAAATATACTACGATTTTTTTTTCAACTTCTCTCTTCCAAATCGACAATATATATTCTCTTTTACGTGCGTTTCTCATATTCATTTACAGTATCTTTAACTGTTTTTTTATTATATTTTTTTTGGCACGAATACATGTGGTAAAAATTACGAGTTTTTATTACAAAAATAAAATTATGAATTTTATTTATACATATATAGATAAATTAATAATACAATTGAATTGGTTAAAAATCACAATAAACATATATCTATATAAATCAATTTAACTGCAATCAGCATACTACTGCAACCTCATAGGCAAATTATATGAAAATTGTCAAACATAAATAAACAATTAAATTTGAAAAAATAAGCAATAATGAGTGTAACGCTTCAACCATACATAAATAATAAGCAATTAATATATATATATATATATATATATATA